TTTTCCTTTGCTTCGTAATATTTGCATTGTTCTGTGACTGTAATATTTCTCTTTGCATACATTTTGTGTATATATATAATTTTTGTATTTTCAAATTCCTGATTTTATGTTTCCTGTACTGTTTTATATTTGTTGTGGGTTCATATATTTGTAGCAACATCAAGCTGCAGGGATTTCTGGAAAGTATTAGGTGTGAGATATGCTAATGAAGATTCTCAGTCATCCAGGTCATTCCGTAAAAGTTTAAAAACACAATCCACTCAACTTGGTTTCCAAGGTTTGAAGTATTAGGTGTGAGAAACGTAGCAAAATCGTCTTGCATTTACTTTTTTTCCTAGATGGAGAAATAGTGCTTTCCAAAAGAAACTCCCGAATCTGACTGTAAGCTTACTGAAGCTCACGGGATACCAATCTGTAGAAACTAAACTTGAATATTCAGGACACAACTCAGAAAGACAAGCTTGGCAAAGAAAATACGGCTTTTAGTCAGTTGAAAGTGGATCAAACTATAAACAATTTCCAACACCAGGATTAGCTCCAAATCAACACCTTTTTACTGAAGGTCACCCACAATAAGGCCTGTTTTCTTCCTGATGGAATCAGCGTTTTTGTTTTGTTGGATAAAAGATGAGACACAATGAGACATGATGGTAACTTTAGGATCAGAGTTTGCTTTTATTCTGCTAAACTGGGGATTTTTTTAAGGTGGATTAAACCTGGAAATATTCCTAAAGGTAAGGAATGAAGATCTTACACATGGTAAAACACGGTGGTGGCAGAATCATCCACCAGGGTTCCTTTTCTCTGGGTTCTGATGAGGTGGCCGAACCATAAAAATAGTTTCAGAAAGGTCTATTTAATTATTTATAAATCGAGGTGGATGAGATTATCACTGATTCCTAAAACCCATCAGGTTTGGCCCAAACCATTTTCCAGGACAAAAGAGATTTCAGGTTCCTGTATGTGTCACGATTTGGCTATGGTTAGTTGACCCAAAAGCAGAGGCAGGGAGGCAGAGGTGAATCTCTTGTGGATTTAATAATGACTTAACAGAAAACAGAGGCAGGTTATCCAAAAATCCAAAAAGAAAACAAAGTCCAAACAAACATGAAACCAGGAGTCCAAAAATAAAAAAATAAAAAACATGAAAACTAGTCTAAAAGTACCAGAAACCATGGAGACATCAGGGGAATCATGATCATAAGGAGGAAGGCTCAGAGAGAAGGAGTTGGAGAATGTTAGACGGTGTTTGACGAGGACCCAGCAGAGAGAAATTGAAGAGAGAGGGCTTTTTAAAGGAGACTGAGACAAAGAGGGGGCTAATGAGGAAACTGGGAGCAGGTGTGCACAGAACAAGAGAGGGAAAGAGCTAGGGAAGAAGGAGAACACAAGAGGGCAGCAGAGAGCAACAAATAGAAACCTGGAAGACTGCAAATAACAACAAAATGATAATCAAATTACTAGGATTATAAAACATGGAGAAAAGAAAACTAAACACTAGAAAACAAGGAGTAAAGTAAGACTGAATACTCAAAAGAAAAACATAACAGAAACAGAAATCTGACAGTATCAAGTTTAATCGAAGCATAGTTCAATAAGTTATTGACTTATTAAATAATGAAGTACATTTTTAAAAGGCATTGCCGTCCTTTGCCATAGAAGCAGAAGAAAAAAAATTATAGAATTACCTGAACAAAATTAGACAGAACGTCTTTGAAGTCACCTAAAGGCTGCTGTGGGGCAGAGATGTCCAAACCATCTGACAGATGTTAGGAGAAATAAGGCACAGTAGATTAATATATATACAAGATATGACATTAATTCTGAAACTGGATCAAGATGTACCACAGATCGTACATTTCTGACACTATTGTTAAATTTTATA